GCAGCTCTCTCCTGACTATTTCTTCCCTGCTCTCTTCCTCCAGCTGATAATCCCCCACCTGCGATACACCATGGAAATTAACGTGCGGGCCAGGAATGGGCTGGTCTCCGACTTGGGCGTTTTTGACCAGGTATGAAGAGAGAAGGGGGCTCCTGGAGCTCATGCTGCCTCTGGCTCTGGCCTCCGGCAGGTGGAGTTGCCTGACCCTGCCCATCCTTGCTTCTCAGGTGGTGAGCACCGGTGGGGGAGGCCACGTGGAGCTGCTTAAGCGCGCTAGAGCCTCTTTAACCTATAGATCATTCTGTCCCCCTGATGACCTGTCTGACCGGGGGCTTCTGGGAGTCAAGTCCTCTTACTATGCTCAGGATGCTCTGCGGCTCTGGGAAATCATCTATTGGTGAGGCAGGGGACGGCAGGGCTTGGGGGAGGGTGGTCAGTCAGGGAGTGGCTTGAGAGAACAGGTGATCTGTGTTGGAGGGCTGGGTGCCCTGACCTGGCAATGTGGGCAAGGAGCAGAGGGCCTGGAGCTCCCTGTCAGCTTCAGCCTTCTTGGTCCAACCCCCTGGCTGACAGCTATGTGGAGGGAATTGTGAGTCTTCACTATAAGACGGACAAGGCGGTGAAAGAGGACCTTGAACTGCAGACCTGGTGTCGAGAGATCACTGAGATTGGCCTGCTAGGGGCCCAGGACCAAGGTGAGTTGAGCCCCTGCCCTGAGACCTCCAGTGTGGAAGGTTCCTCCTGGGAACATCCCCAGAACCCTCCCTGCTTCTGTGAAACTCTCCAGAAGCATGTCCAACCCCTATTAGAATGCCCATAGCCTCTTCAGATTCTTACGCAAGAAGAATCCCTCTAGGTCCCAGATGCAGTGGGACCAGTGGTTGCTCATAAATGCTTAAGAACTGGATCTCTGGGGGAAAAAAAAGCCCTGGTTTGCAGCATTTGCCCATTTCCTTGGTGTAAATATTTTCAAAGTAACTACAGTTGTGATGTCAACCAGCTTGCCACATACCTGAACATTTAACATAACTGACTCATGTGAGCCAGTGTGAGCCATACCAGTACCCCATTGAGTAGGACCGCCCCCCCGCAGGAGATCTCCCTGTTTCTCCCACTATAACTCATTCTCATGTCGTTCCCACAATAGTTCCTCAGAGAACTTGACACCCTTTCTTCCCTCTCATTGAAACAGCAAGGATGGACCAGCTCCCAGCAGTATAGTGTAGCATTAAAATTTCCTGGGGGTGGGGAGAGAAAACACTATCTGAAAAGGCTCTGTAGAGGAGTGATAATGAAAAAGGTTGAGAAACATTGAACTAGAAGAGGGGTGGGCAAACTTTTTGACTCGAGGGCCACAGTGGGTTCTTAAACTGGACCGGAGGGCCGGAACAAAAGCATGGATGGAGTGTTTGTGTGAACTAATATAAATTCAAAGTAAACATCATTACATAAAGGGTTCGGTCTTTTTTTTTTTTTTAGTTTTATTCATTTCAAACGGGCCGGATCTGGCCCGCGGGCCGTAGTTTGCCCACGGCTGAACTAGAACTTGAACAGTCTTACTAGTATATGAAAAGAAAAAGAGAATGATTTCTTCCATTATCATACAGCAACTAGATAGAGGCCCAGTGCACGAATTCATGAATGGGTGGGGTCCCGCTGATTGACCTGTAGGGATTGGGCCGAAACCTGCAGTCCAATGCTGCCTGCAGCTCCTACCTGCCGCTCCCACTCATCCCAGCCCCATTGTGACTGCCAAGGGCTCGGGCTCAATCAATTCTGATTAGGAGAGGCTCCCGCTGCAGCAGCAGTGCTTGCCAGCCATGAGCCCTGCCTCTGGTGCCCTCCCAAGGGGAGTGGGCTGGGGGGGGG